TAAACAATCAATGAAAAAACAGAGCTGACAAGAAAACAGTTCTGCATAAAATGAGCTACTTACAGAACACCACAGGCAGGTCTTGTCAACAACATTTCTCTTCCGAGAAAAGAGCAAATAAATAGGTAGTAACAGAAGTGACATCTCTAAGTAAATACAGTGCTGATAAGGCTAGAAATCCCATGTCCTCCATTCCTTCTTTTGAAACTGGACTTCAAGTACGATGGGAATAGCAGTATTCACAATCAATATTCTTTAGGCTACTGAAATAATTGAACTTATTTAGCCAAGAGAGGGCTGAGAGGATCCTGTTACTTGTCTTCAATACTTCAAAGGCTACTGCAAAATAAAAACCTGTGAGATTTTAGACAGATACTGGTGAGTATAAAAAGCTAGTAATTATTTTTGGGTTATAGATTAGAGAATTTTTTACTGCTAAGGATATTTTATTCCTAGCTAAAGACTGCCCTGGAAGGCAGTGAAGATTCTAGCAATAGAAGTTTTAAAGAAAAAGTTTGGAGACTTAGGCTGTAGGCATGATCAATTGTGCCTTAGTGCTAAGGGTGGCCTCAAAGATTTATTCACTCTATTTTCAATATACATTTACAACTGAAAGACTTCAGCATTATTCATGTTACTGCTTCTCTGTAAGAGATCCAAAATCTGTAGCAAGTCTCAAGGAGATTAAATGTCCTGACTATTTTTCTACTTGGTATTAGAATCCTAATCAAACTCTTCTTTCTTAAAGCAGGTAATTTTTCTCTTCCTTGCCAAACATCAGCACATTTTCACTTTTTTACTCCAGAATTCCGGCCACAAGAATTTCTAGTGAGCACAACCCTACACTGTCTGAAGAGGTAGGCAGATGATGTGGACAAACACTTATTATCAGTCCCAGTCTGAAGAAAAACAGAAAAAACAAAGATACATGCAGAGGAGGATTTCTTCATGCCCTTGATTTTTTATCTGATGCATTTAATATTTCAAACAGCACTGCTGTGTATTTGCTAGTATTATATGTTCCATGGACTTGCTGCTTAAAATCCAAATTTTGGTTTGTTGCCACTTAACGTTTCTTACACAAGTTCAATGTAGGCTGATATATTATCCTAAATGATAATAATTTCCAAAATATCCTTTCTAAATCATAAGCTCAACACTTTTCACCTGAATGTTCCTACTAATGAAACTTGCTTACATCAGCATATGCATAAAGCAAAGCGAAACAAAACAATACAGCCCAACCCCCCTCCCAAAAAAAAACTGGAAAAACAAGCAACAACAAAAATAACTTAATTAAGAGAGCTAACAGAAGGCAGACAACAGATACAGAAGTTTAGACAGCATTTTCTAGGTTCTGTCTGTACATTTTATCGATCTTAAGGAAACATCTGTTAGGTTATTGGAGAACTTCTGGGAACTCTGTAGAACTTCAGGATGCCTATGTCTGCCAGGAAGAGATAGCTCCAGTACTGTTTGACTTCCCAAGCCTAAGAACTTAGAAGGAATTCTTGTAGCTGTTCCTGATGAAAGGGTGGTTTAAGTTCTTTCTTCTAGCTGACTCTGAGACAGAGGATACTTGAAAGAGGCCTGTTCATGTTCTCCAATATACTACAGATATAAGAACTTGAATCATCGGCAGTACTGAAGGAAGGGGCAAGCAGCACCTGTGTGCACTGGGATGGGAAAGGGAGATTCTCAGGACAGCAAAGGCTAAAAATTTGGCTTAGAGGTGATGCCTAAAGGCACAGGTGCTCAGATGGTACCTTCTCAATCCTGCCATAGAAGGGAAGATGTGCCAGCCACAAGTGAAGAATTTTGAGGGTTAACATATACTCACATACCACTGGCGTCAACTAGAAGGAATCAGATTTTATGACCATGGGACACTTGTTGGGGAATGAGGACTGCTGGAAGATAAGATCTGCCTGACTAAGAGTGGCAGTGATGAATGACAATGAAGTGAGGGAAGTGGTGGACTGGTTGGCAGCCACCCCAAGCTTATGCACACAAATGAGAAAGCTGAAAGGACAGCATTATGGGAGAAGATCTCATACTTTGAGAGGAAATTATCATGGCTGGATGCCCACCTGAAGTGATATTACACTAATGAACTAGGCACTGGGAATAAACAGGAGGCATAAGAAAGCCTTGTGTGCAGATGCAGGGCTATGGTAGTACCTTTAACCACCAGCAAAGATAGTCTAATAATGTAGCCAGATCTGTGCAGCCCTGTTCAAGGGAGATGCTGAGAAACAGAAGAAAGACCACTAAGGTACTAAGATGGTAGCACATGGCCTGTAGCACATGAACTACAAGCCTGCTTCATTTCCCAAAGAAGTGAAGGGAACACTCAAAGGCAGACTACAGCTATCTAAACAGCTGTTACAAAATGGACAAGCAACGTATCCTGGTAATTGCAAATGTCTCAAGAAGTGAGTCACAAATTTTCATCAGGGATGTTTAGGTTGGATACTAGGAAAAATATTTCAGGGGAAAAGAAAGGTCATGTCAGGTCACTTAGAAAGGTTCTGAAATTGTATTTATTGGAGGCTCTGAGGAATTATCGTAAAGGTGAAGTCCTGTTTTGAGTGGGAGGGTTCTGGCCCTTCTTGGTCAGTTTGCTTAGGTACTTTTAGCCAGGTGCAGACACTTTATAAAAAGAATATACATAATTCAAAATAAAGCAGTTAGCTATTGCATAACACACACACACAAACAAAGCTGGTGTTTTATGAGCTATTAGACTAAGCATTAGTATACTTGACACTTTTGTTTATGTCCTAAAGAAGCCTATACAGGGCAGGCAGGCATGAACAAGAAGGGAAAGGCTCATTTCCTGTGGCTCAATGGAAAGGATTCTCAGCATTGCACGGTTGCCACCTTCTACCAGCTCCTCAAAGATAATGATAAGATTCACTGATTCCCAGCTAATTCCTAGCTAGACTGACTAGCTTGACTAGCTTTCTTCTGGTGACTTTTCCTGTTAGGATTTTATACCTTTTTATGCTGGTACTTTCCTTCCAAAATTCTTCAGCTACCATTGATGTCATGCCAACAGCCTTTCTTCTTTCTTTCAGTCTGTACTTCCAACACTCATCTTTTTATAGTTGTTCTCACAACTCAGTCATACAAGTCTGGCTTAAGGTTACGCTGCTGACCTGTACACACATACACAGGCAACTGTGCCCCTGGGATGGTAGGTGATGGAACTCAGTGCTGCATTTCCTGAGAAAAAGGCTCAGGCTGGATTGATGTCTCTTTCAAGGCCTTCCCAAACTACATTTCTAAGATTCACTACACAAAGGTCTTCGACATCTAGTTTGGAACTTTTTGAAGACACTGTAACACTGACGTCACATTACACTTAGTTCACATGTGGATTTATTTTGGTTTTTTTTTTTTTGGTTTTTTTTTTTTTTTTTTCCTAGTTCCAGTTTCTTGCCTCAAATATGAAAAATCTGATATCTTTTGAAATACCTTATAATTATGATTTAAAGCTTTTAGGGTTTTAGGTGACTATTTCAGGAACGCTTTTCCTAGACAGCAGTAAGAAGCCTGTTCTGAAGTATGGTGCATTCAAAGGATAAACAACTACACTGCTAATTCTGGAGTGCCTGGATTATATGGACAAGTGTGGAGAAGCAGCATCAGAGATTATCACTGCTACCGAAATAAAGAGTTGAGAGGCTGAAAATTTATAAGCCACAGCATGATCTGGAAGCTGTTGAGTACATCAGCAGATTTTTAACAGGTGTCTCCAGCAAAAGTTAAGAGGAAACACTTTCTTACACAGACAAGGAGGGCTAAAAGCAGGGAATGATTCAACATTATCTTTAAAATAGCAAGTGCAAAGATTTTCAGCCCTTACATTAGAAGGACAAAAGGAGTCCAATTACACCCAAACAAAATTTTAAAATCCCTAGAACTAAGCTGTCTTAATTTATTCCCTTTACTTTTCATTATGTGATATGCCATTTTCCCCAGCAGACTTTTTAACATATGGACATCCATCCCATATAATGTTAATTGCACATTATTCAAATCCTACTCTCCCATATGAAAATGATAAACTTCCAGTAAGATTTCCTAATTATACTGTTAAAACATAGTTTAGGAAATAGAACTCATTGATATATCACAGTGATTTGCTAGTGAGAAGAAGTGAGAGAAGGAACGTGCCAAAAGATGGGCATCTTGTTATCAGACATCTGCGACTTGATTTTTCACTAAAACGACATAGTTATATGACCTCTCACGTACTCACTCCCCTACATCCTAAAAGAGCATTCAAAGGGAGCAGTAAATGTGTATATATAGAACTAGAGCCTCGAATAGGTAGGCAGGCAGTGCACGATGAGTAACCACTGACCGTCTAGGAAACATTCAGTTTGCATGACTCAACCTGCAGAGGAACTCCACGGAAGACATAGATGTAATTCTCCGGAATAATACTCCGAACAATAAAACCGTTAGAGATCATTTGCTCGGCCACATCGTGAGAAAATGGAAAAGCTAGCTAGAGCAGCAGGGCGCTGCTCAGCAAGGGGAAGAACAAGGGAGTGAGGGAGGGAACACCTGGCGGACCGCAGTTGAGAAGGATCGGGGTGCTGAAGGCGGGCAGCCTCCGGTCTGGCCAACCAAACCCTTCTCGGTTCCGACTTCCGTCGGACGGCCGCTCCAGCCTGGCCGTGACAACCGGGGAGCCCCGGGAGCCCGGCGCTGGAGGAGCGGGGAGATGCGATAACGCTCTCCGGGAACGAGGCCAAGAGAGCCGGCCACGCTTCCCGGAGCGGGGAGGAAATTCCTGAGGCTCTCCTCACCCGTCCTCCGCGGGCTGCGGGAGGCACCGCCCCGCCCGGGAAAGGAGGGGCTGCCCGGGCCGCCCAGCGCTCCGCAGCCCTGACCCGCACCGAGCGGGGAGGCCGGCACGACGCGGCCGCCGGGGGAACGTCCCTCCCCGCTTCCTGAGACGGCTGCCGGGCTGCAGGTGAGTCGGGCCGGTCCGCCCGTGCCCCGTTTACCCGCCTGTCTCCCCGCGCCTTCGCTGCGGGGAGCTCCCGTCCCCTCTTGGGAAGCGCTCTGCGGAGCTCTTTTACTCCCCGTTGTGTTCCCCGCGGCGCCCGCCGGCATTCCCTGTCTGCCTCCCGCTTTTCCACCTCCGCTCCCACGGCCCCCCAGCGCCGGCCGTGCCCCCTGCCCGCCCCGCTGTCTGACCGCGGGCACGGCCGAGCCGGGCGGGGCTGCGCGCTTTGTCCCGCGGCGCTCCGTCCGTCCCCTGGATGGAGTCTGCCGAGTGCTGCCCCGTGCGGGTCCTGCGTTCTGTGGAGCGTGACGGTTCGGGATGCGACTTTCATCTCTCTTTTTACCTAAGTGTTTCGAGCCACGCTAGTTCCCGCAGGGTAACGCACGTTGTTCCTGCAGAACGAGGAGCGCGGTGCGGCTGTTGGTGCTGTGCCACCACGGGGTGCCACTCCTCCCCTCCTGCTCGTAGCGTTTACGTGTTGATGAGCACCGGCACTCCGACTTGCTCACTTTGCTGAGTGTTTCACATCTTTTATACCCCATTTTTGCACCCCTTAATTACTCTTTTTTGTTTGTTTGCTTCGATTCCAACCCTCGTGGGATCGAAAAATGCAGTGTTTTCCTGTTTTGGAAAAGCTCTTTAGAAAATCAAGAGCGCTCTCTCTCTGTTTAAACAAACGAAGAAGAAACCGGGAAGCAAAGCTATCCCTGAATAATCAATTAATTGCATGTGGATCAGAACTTAATTATGGAAAATCCTTTCTTCCACATGCAGCTTTTATAAATTCCTTTTTATCCTTTAAACAACAAGGATTTATTAGCAGCTTTCAATGTCTGTACGCAGCTGTAATTTCTGCTGTAAATTAGTGAAGTAGATGGAAATGATCTTTAATATTTCTTGGGAGGACAGAGGCTGTGCACAAGGACTAAAGGCAGTGCTGCTTTTCAATCTATCACCTGTTCTCTATTTTTTTTTTTTTTTTTTAATTCAGAATTGTTACAAATCATGTTTTGTATGAGCAGTGTGACATAATGCTGAAGAAAGCTGTTTAATTTCAAGATGCTTTGGCAGCTCCTTCTTTACCAAAACCTGCTGAGTGTCAGATGGTTTGACACTTCTCCCTTCTTCAAGGGCAAGTAAGTTACCCCAGCTGGATGACAGTTCCACACCACTCATTTGCAAGGGAAGATGTAATACTGGGAACTGCAGGAGTTAGAAGAGCAGCAATATGCTTCAGCCCAGGCTTTTTGTAGAAATCACTGGCTAAAGGCATTCCAGCTCATTTTGGCTTAGTTAGTTATTGGGCATGTAGTGTTGCCTGCTAAGAAACTGAATTGTGGTTCCTGTCCTTGGTCTGTTTGTCTCTGAAGAAGAGGGAATAAGAATATGTGATGTAAAACATCATGTAAATCCATAGGATTGTTATTACTGTATTTACCTCACTGGTAAGAAGTTCTTTCTACATCTGATTTGTCTGATAATACCTATACTTTGGTGTCCCTGCGTAATACTGTCCTTCAGATGAATAAAATTTTCTGGATATTAGAAAAGCATTCAGGCTTTGGATCATTTGAGGATGTGGGTACAGCTGGCAGCTGTTTTAAGTAAGCAAAGGGTGCTGGAAAAGAACTGTATAAAGGGTGATTTGGAGATGCAACTTGAGGAAGATCGATACAAGGCGGATCAATTCGATCATGAACTAATGCTAAATATTCATAAGAGACACTGCAGCAGTATGTGCACCATATAGCACCCAGCTCCCAGCCTCTGGCTCATGAATACCATGAGCCTCATGCTGAAGGAAGTTTCATTTGAAGTTTTATGCCTTTAAGAGAGTTTTGACAAAATGTTTATCTTGGCATACTTATCAGATGAATAACAGGAATTTCTTTTTCCTCATGCAATAGCAAAAGCACTGGCCAGAAGAGGACTTATGCTGATCATCTATATTTCTGGAGAAGAAGCAGTTTACTTGAAGATATTTATTTAGACTATTTGAAAATTACAGAAAGAGAATTTATCTTTTCCCAAGGTAATGTGTTTCACTTTGATTTGTGTCTCTTGGAAATGCCACACATTCTATGGATCACAGACTCTACTTACTATATTAAAGTGAAACTTAAAAACAAAACAAAAAAAAAACCCCACAAAAAAAAAAATCCAACCCACTAACAGCAATGTTATGTATGTATTTGGGAAATGGGCCTGATTCCACCTTACTTTTTGGCTTGTATCTGTAAGTTAAATTGAGCGATGTATTGCTAATTGTTTCTGCTTTTTTTTTCCCTCCCTCATCTAAACATCTGCCAGACCTGGTGGTTCCTACCTGAAAGCATTCATGTGACTGCCTTCACATAGCCCTCAGTTTAAGGGTTTGGAGGCAAAGCTATCTGGACCATTAGGCTTAAGGAGAGAGATTGACTCTGATGAGTTGATATCTGGTGAACATTTAGAATGATACTCCTTGGGAGTTGATATCTGAGCCAGTGCTGCTTAACATCTTTTTCAACACTCTGGACAAGGGAATACATCTTTAAATAGCATACAGGTTGCATGAAGTAGATGATAGCAATTCAAACTGTAACAGGCAAGAGTGTGAATTGTTGGGACCTCAACAACCTGGAAGAAATTAGCTGACAAATCTTGGGAAGTTTAGAAAAGATAAATGTAAAGTCCTGTTGGATGGAATAGGAGGGAATAGTGCAGCTGGGGAGCTGAGATGTCACACTGCCAAACAACCAGCAGTGTATTTTTTGGTGAGGATGGCGAACTTACCTATGGGGCTATCTTAGCAAGACATATCCAGAAGGTTGAAGAGAGTACTATTTCCTTTTATTTGGTGCTTGTGAGATCACATCCACATTACTGTGTCCAGTATTTAGCTCCCATTACTAAGATGGGCAGACTAGGCTGAATCCAGAAGGATGCCGTGAGGGCTTGGAGGCTGGAGCACATTGAGGAAGTGTATCTGAAACAGAAACATGTTTAGCCTTGAGGGGAGAAAGTTAGAAGCAGCTCTAACTGCCATCTTGCCTAACTAATGGGTAGTTACAGAGAAGAGAAAGCTAAGCCTTTTGCAAAATGATGAGAGGAACCTGATGCAAATTGTAACAAGGAAAATTCAGCTTGAACATACACAGAGGGTTGTTAAGAATGGGGAAAAGTTGTCAAGGGAAGGTGTGGCATGTCTGTCTTTGGAGCTCTTCAGAACTCACTTGAACAAACGGCCCTGTGATTCTAGAGAAAAGCTATTGCAATTTTATTTTTATTTTTTAAATTACAGAAGTATTCAAATTGCATGTCTGCTCTCTGTATTCAAAGTCACTGACATGAGACCTTCTTGTTCTTAACCTTGAGTTTGTGGACGCAAAACTCACAGGCCTTCCATCCTGAGGAATGGTAACAAAACATGATCTCTCAGGCTTTGAAAAATGTTGACAGTGATTCACTCTGAGATGAAGAACTGTGGCACATTGATGTGGTGCTCCTCAAAGTGCATCACTTCATATCTTTTCAGATTGACAAATAAACAACCAAACCATTCAGCAAAACAGTGATTGTGGTATTGCAACTTTTCCTGTGGCATCTGATACTAAAGTAATGGTTGTTGGAAGTATTGCTTTGCTCATTTTTGGTGATGAATTTAGGTACCTGAAAACATTCTCTGACTGTCTGACTCCATTTTCTGTTGTTGTTCAGTTGCTTTTAGTTTTGGCAAGGATGTTGTAAATATAATATCATTTTGTTGTGCATTGCTTTTTTTTTTTAAATGATTTATCACGTGTTTTCTGACTCTCTTTTAATCTTTTTAACTTAGACACATTCTAATTGATTGCATTATAAAAGTACTTAATTATTGATATTGCAAATAAGTGCTCAACCTTAGTTGGTGGTAATTGCAATACATGATTAATTTGTTAGACATGATCAGGTGTCTCTGCATAAAGATTATTTAGATCAAAATAATGCTCCTACATTAGGAAATGCATTTTTAAAATAATGTTTCTTTTATTTGACTGTATTTGAAATTTTCTTTTGTTAGAGAATTTCAGTTTTTTCCCATGATAACTGGTTTAACAGCTGCACTTTATCACAATTCACTGTACAGTATTAAATAAGACTACTAGCATATTATGAAAGCATTTTAACTTTCTGATGGTCATTTATTATAATACACTGCCCATTAGCAGTGAACAGTAGTTGTATCACGTAGCAGTAAAAATGAGATAGAACAAACCATTAGAGAACTGATAGTGTATATGGCTGCAGAGAGGTAGTTAAATTAGACAGAAATTTCAGTACAGTAGCTGAGAGTACCTCTGTAGAGCAGAAAAGGCTTTGGACTTGTTTTCCAGATAAGTAGTAGTTTAAGCAAATAGCCTAGTATGTCATGATTGCCACAACACTTTCCCATTAGTTTTAGTGTGGAAATGGTACAGCACAAGTAGGTCACAGAAACACGGAATTGTAGGGGCTAGAAGGGACCTCTGGGAAAGGGTGTGCAAGATTTGGCTTTGTATTCATTTCCTATGATACAAAGTAAGAACAATGTACTGAAGTTTTATGAATCTGTAACCTAATCTACTTTGGAAAAACTTTCTACTTTCTTTCCTCCCACTTGCCATTCCACTGTACAGCACAGAGCCCTCTACTGTGTTTATTTCAGACAAGGTATATCAAATTAGTTGACTTAAAAATGTGTAAAGATAGAATAACCGTGAAGATGTTGATTGCACTCAGTTCTTGAAACAGACTGCTATTTGAAACATGAATTAGACCTATGTTTTCAAAACTATGTTAATTATTCGTGTTAATTTTAGCATTATCCAAACACTTCTGAGGATAATTGCTACCTGGGCAAGAAAGAGTGCAGAAGCCTATGAATTAGGAAAGGCAACATTCACTTTATATCTGGGAGACTCCAGGTGAAGCATTTGGGCTCATGAGGAGAAAGCTACACAGCTCCAGGAACACACAGCACAGAATCTAGAAGTCAAAGATAACTCTGTCCTATAATACTGTTCCTGTTGTTTGGAGTCTTGTACCCTCTGTGCCTGAGTGCTTTTAACTGTGCCATTGCTGGATGTTTACCTATTCCTTCTGCAGGGGGGAATGTTGAAGTGGTGATGTTATGAAGTTTGACTTGTCAGTCTCACGGGACAGTGCTGAAATGTGCGAGTCAGAGTTTCATCCTTCTGCAGTTGGGAGTGTGGAATCTGTAAGCAGACTGCTATGTAAAGCTTGATGTTATTTGAGATGACAATTCTACTAGGTATAGAAGTTGCTAAGACTTTAACACAGGCATTTCAACTCCAGCCTGACTTTATCCTTCTCTATGCTATCCTCTGTACTGGAGAAGGATGAAACCATACCTGGTCAAGTCTGTAGGATTTATCATTCGAGCTGTAAGTGAAACAGAATCCACAATGCCTTTTGCACCTTGGTCGCCTTTTTCCTCTTTTAGGGTGGATTTCTATTATTTGTTCAAGGGGAAAATAAAAAATTCATCAGTCCAGACTCTAGTTTTAATATTCCTTAGGAAATCTGGTGGAAAAATTACAAAGATTTGTATGTTTTCCTTCTTCAGATTGAATTGAACTTTTAATGAGTGATATATTTTCCCCTACACTGTAAAAAGATCCTAAACAACATGATTTTTTTGTTGTTTTTTTTTCCATTGTCCATTCTTTCCAAATGTCTCCTAACCTGCCTGAGTTGTTGTGTGGCTGGGTTCTCATTTGTTAATTTATTCTTAAATAAATTAATAACAATTATCTGACATACATTTATCCTAAAAGAAACACACAAATGGAAATGTTATATTTCTCAATAGATTGCGTGCAGGAAAAGGGAGATGAATGATGAATCACTTCGTGTTTCTGGCAGTATTGCTCCACTTGAGGACTTGGTGCACTGCATACTCACAGCAAGGTAAATATATTTTTTTTTCATTTGGAAGCTACAACATACGGAGCTTTGGACTTGCTCATGTGTAACTCTCCTGTGATTAAGCAGTGTTACACACTCAGTCAAGTTATTCTACTTCATAAAGAGATGAAGCAACATTTAAAATTACCTTCTGTAACCCCATCATGCAAAGTTGCCCTTTGAGTCAATCACTTGCAGTGCTATGAGGTCAGACTGTATTTGTAGATCTGCTCCCATTCTCTCATCTTGATCTATACATTGTCACTTTCAAGTAATTTACTTATCTGAAAATGTTCACGATTTTCTATGTTTTTACTTTCATTTGTTCCATTTGTGAAAATGTCAGGACTTATTATGACTGTTTTCTGGTTGTGCCTTCAAATCCCAGGACCAGACTTTTATTCTCTTACTCTTCACGAATGCAGCTCATACAAAGAAAAAAGTGTATACACATATTCTGAGGGAACATTGTTAAATATAATAAAACTTCCAGAAGACTGTGTATTTTAAAGTAAAGGAATTGCTTGCACTCTTGCTGCTGCCAGTAGCACTGGGCATGATGCTACTAAAAGAAAAATGAACAATTTTAATTGGCATATCTGTGACCACCATTAAGAGGCAGAACATAACAATAAATAGTCTTCATTATAGAAGTTTCATTGCACTAGCTATGGTGAAGGATAAAGAAGGTTTTTTTTTAATTATTATTTTATTTATTTACTTATGTGGTACGAATGTACTTGGTACTATACTGAAGAAATAATGTATGCATTTCAGACTTTTTTCCTACCTCCTCTCTTCATCCTTGAAATTCATATTTTGCATGATTCTTTCACTCAGGGTGCTAGTTTCTTGATTTTGAGATTCTACTACCAATATCCTTTGAATGGCAGACATTTGCAATGCAGACAAGTCCAAACAGTTACTGCATCACAGTAGCCTAGTATAACTTGTTTTCACATGCAATTGTTCAGGAGTAACAGTCTTTGCTGTTATTCATAAAGCTGTTCATGTAGTCTGAGTTACCTTTCAAGTAGAACAAGTCTTAAGATGCCCTTGTTGTTTAAAGTTCCTAGGAGGAGTAGGTTATAACTGTAAATGATACGAATATTTCTACATGAGTATATTATGCAACAGAAGTCTTTAATTCCCATGTTGTAACTCCGTTGTCTTTGAGATCTTGACCTCTAGAAGTAATCCTTAGCTATGTTGCTTCTGCTCTTTGTTGGTAAAGTATATGAGCCCCTACAACTAATACAGGTCTTCTTATTCCAGGCTCTGAGTAAAACAAAATTCTGTGAGTTCACAAATGACATATCACCTTTCTAGAAGAAGATAGAAAAGAGATATTTTATTTGTACAGATAGAGAAAATACAGAGACCAGTGAGGGTTCTGTTTTTGTCATAGTAGTTAAGTATTGAGAAACAGGATGAGATTTTTAGCTTGGACAAAAAAGAGTCAGAGAAGAAAGAAAAAATTCATCAAGTTCAACTGAAAAACTCAGTTAAAAAGACTGAAATGTATTTCTGGATAATTGAAATCCCTGTAAGGTTTACATTTCAAAATAATAAAACCTTTATGGAAAGTAATGAAAATGAGGTACTATATTAGCCCTGTGCTGATTAGTCAAATCCTATTTCAGTTAAGAAATCTACTTGTTTCTTTGTATTAACATGTAAGCAGTATACGTATGCATTGGGAATAAAATCCAGTCCTGAAGTCATGGAGCATGTTGTCATGTTGAGTCATTACGTGGTATGGCTTAATGATGAAGTAATATTACAGGCAAACAGCTGCTAACATGTGCATAGATGTAGATCCACCTTGAGCACTTTTCTACGGAGTTCTTCAGTTTCTGTGTTGTTCCTTGTCCCATTTGTAGAACTGAGAAATTGTTTCTGATTTGCCACTGGTAAATCTCACAAAACAGATGAAGGCTTAGCACAGTTTTGCAACTTTCTGGGTTCTGGTAAGATCTGAAATGAGTCATTTGCTTACTCTTTTTCTTTTCACTGTACATCCAGGATGGCAGTGTTTTCTGTATAGATGATGCTTGATCTGTTGTGAGGTTTAAGTTTACTCTGTGAAGGAGAACTAACAATTTTCCTAAGGAGGCTATCTGAAAGGACACAGGAAAGTGTAAAAAAAAAAAGAGGAGTCATTCTCTGAATGTTTGCTCACCTACAGTCCTGTCGTGTTTCTGCAAACTGTCTGGAAGGTCCAAATCCTTTTAGATTTACTTCTTTATGCAGGGATTAACTGTCTTCCCCTGTTCATTCATTACTATAGACCTAAAACGCAGGTATAGTAAGGATCAAGAGAATAAGATCAGCCACCAATTTTTGTACACAAAATGAATCCTCTCGAGGCTTTGCCTTGTGGTGCTTCAGTTAGCAGGGTGGTTAAGGTACGGGTAAAGCTGATGAAAAAATGAGCAATTAAGATTACATATAGCAGAAGAGTAACATTACTGCCAATTCCATAGCATAAAAGGGATTTTAACAGCCTTTATCTTGTTTTGGTGTTGAGAGTCTGGAGAATGTGAGAATATAAAATTGATCATCGTACCTCCTCTGACAAGCATTAGCTGTTCTGCTTCCACAGTTAACTGTATCATTCTTTGCATTGCTTTGGTTCTTCTGGCTCCCTGCCTGGTCAGTCATTGGCAGCATATCTAACAATATTTCTTTTTTTCCTGTAAGACCTAGAATTGCTATTCCCTCATCATTTAGGGAAGTGAAACTTTTTTCCCAGGCCCTCAGCTTTGTTTACTCCATTCCAGGCATTAGCAGATCATCACAGTAGTTATGAAACTGATGGCCATTATTTATTTTTTTTTACTATTTTCCAATCAAAAGCAACTGTCAAGCAGCAAATCAATGATTGAAAGACAATGCCACAACTGTTGGAAAAGTAGAAAATTTATTTCTTTACATAAAATATTTTTGTAGTTACCTCACAGAAGTTCTGTCAAATCCTGCTGTCACTTGTTTTCATCTAATTTACATATATACATATATATGTATGTGTATTGCCTTGAAAACCCATAGGGGAAGAAGGTACTCACAAGATGATCTGTGGTTTTCAGCTAATTACTGCTCCTAGAAAAAAAATCTGCTGCTCAAGGAGATTTTTTTTTCCTGACAAATAAAAGGAGTTTAATCTCACTTTTAAAATGTAATTTATTCTGGGAGTCAAAGCCAGACCTACAAAGTCCATTTGCTTTAACTAACTCAATCTTCATAGGATCAAAGAATGAGAATTAGTGTAGATTTTCTGACTTAATTATTAGAAAGCTTTCTGGGTGTTGGAATTTCCTGAGATTCAGTCCCTGTGAATATTGTGTTGTCGCTCTTCTCTAGACTGTAAGGAAAAGGATAAATATACTGATAAAGTAGCTAGTAAATTGAGAGCATAATGAAATTGAATAGCATACCCAAGACAATGGTGAGGGGGCTACTGAGGGCTATTGAATAGTTTTATGAACCCTGTGAGGCCGCACCTCGAGAACTGTGTCCAGTTCTGGGCCCCTCGCTGCAAGAAAGACGTTGAGGCCCTGGAGCGTGTTCAAAGAAGGGCAACAAAGCTGGTGAGGGGTCTGGAGCACAGGCCTTATGAGGAGTGGCTGAGGGAGCTGGGATTGTTCAGCCTGGAGAAGACGAGGCTCAGGGGAGACCTTACTGCTCTCCATAACTACCTGCAGGGAGGTTGTGATGAGGAGCGGTTTGTCCTCTTCTCCCAGGCAACCTCTCCTATTGCTTCATATCTGCTTGAACAATACACTAAATGCAATTGATAGACATGAAAGAACACACCCTGACAAATTTGGAGAAAGATGCACAACCAAAATGGGTTTTGGGAAAGTTCTTAGCAGTGGCCTAATTCAATTTTTTCAACATTATGTTAATGGGATTAGAATGTTTCTTTTACAGTCTCATAGTTTATTTTACTGAACTTTATTTGTTATGTTCACTGTTGAGCAGTGGGAGAGCCATCATTGGAGATGGGAGCAGAGTTTGGTATGTCTTATGACTTGTTTGAAAAAACAGAATGGTTGAAGTTGGAAGGAACCTCATCTGCTGTAACCTCTGCTCAAGCAGGGACACCCAGAGCAGAACACCCAGGAGCATGTCCAGATGGGTTTTGAAGATCTCCCAGGAGAGTCCACAGCCCCTCTAGGCAATCTGTGCCAGTGTTCCATTATCTGCCCAGTCTGTAGTGCTTCCAGGTGTTGAAACTCTTCCAGTTTGGGCCCTCTCTTTGTTCCACTGCCTTGGCTTATGTCTCCCAGAAAAAGCTAGCGTGGAGATTCTTTGGTCTCTCATACTATACTCTTCAAAGGACTAAATAATACTTAAGCATTAATTTTTTTGTGTATTTTTTGTGCTCCTAGAATCCCTTGTGTTTCCAGTAACATATCTTAATGTTCACAAGGATTTGGCTCTTCAACGTCTGCTTGTGGAATGGGATGTTGGCAAGTCAGCGCACAATGCTGAGCTGGTAATGTCTTTTGAAATACAAGTCCGTCGAGCAGATGAAGCTATTGTGTGGACAGTAAGTGCATTAAAAAAAGAAATAGCTATAGTAAATACTTGCAATATGAAAAAAGCTAAAGGATAATAAAATGTTCAAATGCATATGCAGATTGTCTTGCTGTACAGGTTTATGATTTACAGCAGAGTATTTGTAAAGCTGTAATAAAAGTACCTGCATATTTCAGTAGGTGCCAGACTTGGTCTAATGTTATGCCCAGATATTGTGAAAATAAAATTATCATTCAATTTAAGAGGTAATTTTTACCTGTAGAAGAATGTATATCGTTGTTGAGGGTCTGCAGTAGACAAGCTTAAAAGATCTGATTCTAAAACATTTTGTTTCCCTTCCAAGACACAAGTCCCACAGACAACCTCCAAGAAAAATACCATTTCACTTTAGAAGGCAGGTTTTTTGGTAATATACTAGCTAAGCATTACTGGAGACAAATTGCGCACGAGCTGTGAGTTGCTGCAACTCTTTTCATCTTACGAACCAGACAGGATTGCCTTAGCGTGACTGAGGCCTTTTAAGCCCAATATTTGGCCTTGTCAGCAATTACCATGTATCCAGCTTGTCCACTTTGAGAAGAAGGTGGTGGAATCTCCTTTGCCAAGTCCCTATTCTGCTAATTTTCTTTAGCACGTGAAACAGCAGGATTTTCTGAAGATGCTCGTTTATTATCACTCAAATTATTACTGCTTAGGTCTGCTTCTGACTTTTTCTGAGTCCTCGACTTTAGCGTGAGAACTTTTGTGTTCCAAGAAATTGCCTTTCCTTTGGATCTGATAAAATCTTTTGGGAATTTAACACATGTCTTCGGGATATTATAGCTTTTTATGAGTCATCTACTGATTGAACTGTAGAGGGATATGAAATACACATGTTAAGACTTAGTAAAACTGGAAAAACTATTCTAACTCATTTAAAGTTGCTATTTGTGAGAAAGGATATATAGCAGAAAAAGGCTTACTTCAGATCAGCCAGTTGGTTGTATTTTTTCTCTTATGTTTGAAGAAGCACATCGCTTTATGCAGTTCAGAAGATTTCAATAACTTTGATACGTGGGGTAGAATCTCATGAATAGATTTAACTTTCAAGTCAGAAACTGGGGTTTTATTACTCAAAATTATTGTGGTTACTTCTGGGGGGAGGGGAGGAACATTGAGGGTGTGGAGTTTGGACTATTCTTCCAACAAGTTATTAACTTACTGGAAGAAAGAATTAATTTTTTGAATCCAAGGACTGAGTTTATAATGTTACTCATAATAAATATGGTGTGGAAAATAAACAGGATATTTTGGATGTCACTGTCATGCAGGAATGTGACAGTGATTTTTTTCTGAAGACTTTTCTAATAAAAAAACTCTGCTTTGGTATAAGCAGACTCACATGCACAGTCCATGTAACTTTCAAAGCAGTGGCTGCAGTACTCAGTGCTGTAACTGAGAAATTAAATTTTAAAATATTCACAAAATTCATCTCCAAGAGGTGCTATTTTGAAACTGCAGGCGTTGCAGATAGAAAGCAGTAATAAAGAACAGTTCTCTAGTTGTTAGGGTGAGCCTGGGCTCCGAAACAGTTCATTGAATATGGATCTATATGCTGAGAGTGTGGTGTGATTACTCCAAGGAGAACTAAAATACATGTTGTGTTCCAAAATGTATTTATAATTACAAGCACTAATACGATCTTTGAGACATTTTTTCCCACCTTTCACTGGCAAAATATATTTTTCAAATATGAAAGCTAGTCCATAAGTAATGATGTTCCTAGACATTCATTGATGCATGTGGAACATTTACAGAGTGAATGGCAGCACTGTGAGGTTGTCAGTGGTGCTTTTCAGCAGTGGAAACAGTGACATGAAAGATAAGCTGTGTTCTGAATGGCCATGCACAGCTGTCACACCACAAAATGAAGGGTATCTTGATCAGCTCATCCGTGTGAATCAAAGGGTTACAGTCAAGGAACTTGTATATGGATATATACTATGTGCAAATTTGTCAAGGCCTACTGAATCAATGCAAAGCTGGAGGTGACAGTTTCCTGTCCTCATCGTTACTGGTGACAAGAGGTGGTGTCACCAACATGAGCCAAAATCAAAATGGCAGTCCATGGAGCGGCAACATAGGAATTCCCTATTGAAGAAAAAATTCAAGATGTAACAATTTAGTAAGTAAAGTGATGTGCACTGTCTTGTGGGGTAGCAATGGGTCGATCCATATGGATTTCCTGGAGCTTGGACAGACCATCATCTCTTGACAACTACATTGTGATGCTGCCTGAGCCAAGGGATCAAACTACCAGAGTCAGACCAGAGAAGAAGATGACCTTTCTCTTGCAACATGATAACACAAGGCCCGGTGCAATTTTGAAGACCATGGAACACGTTGCCAATCTTGTCTGCACTGTCCTACCATAACCACAATACAGATTTGACTTCCATCTGCTCAGAAAGATGAAAAATGTACTGTATGGGCAACATTTTCCTATCAAAGACATTGCCATAGAAACTCTGAAACAAAGAGTCAGCTCTGCTATTGCAGATTTTTATGAGTGTGGCATGAAAAATCTTGTTCATATAGCTAATGTGTTGAAAAATACATTTTGTAGCAGAGAATTTGCCTTATCAAATAGTGTTACTGTTCTCTTGATATCAGTTGTAGTTTCCAGGGAAATAAATACCAGGCATTACTTTCAGAGAGACCTACCTATGTGATAGTGCCCTGCTTAGTTTGAGTTGCAGTGCTGTGTATTAATATAGCCCATTCAGCTTCCAGGTGGTCTGTAGTATGTGTATGGTATGAAAAACTTATACAGTACCTTCTCTTAGAACACAGCAGAACATTTTATATTTGTTGCTGTGGGCTTGCATTTATACATTTCAATATAATAATGTTTGACAAGTTACAGAGAATTTTGCTCTGTTTTTGAACTTTGCATTATATGTTAGGTCATCCTTCTGTTATTATGGAGCTCTTAATACTTTTATATGTGCTCTTTCATATGCACAAGAAACATGCAGTACATGCACAATAGTCAAATATTTTGGAGAAATTTGTGGATGTTTTCCTATTCTGATGCTGTTCATCAGAACCATAACAAGACAATACATGCATAATTCCCTACTGGCCAATGCAATTGTCTGTTGTAGTTCAGAGCCAAAGATACATAAGACAGTATAAGACAAGGTACATAGCTGGCATCAGTGTGTCTGCAGACTGATGTATTAGCAGGCACAAATAACTCACTGAAAGACCCTGAGGATTAACCTGTTTCTTGTGGAACATGTCCTGAGTCATAATTCTTTTGTTAAAATCAAGCAGTCTTGCCAGTGCCTCTGCCTTTCTGCCATTGCTAGTCCAGATTTGTAAGCCATTAGTTAACATGAGCAGCAGGTAGGATTTCAGAGACTCATCTTTCAAAAGCAGTTGAACCTGCTCTCTGCTTGGTCATACTTCTGAAGTGTCTAAATATTGCTGTGTTTTCAGTAATTTGCCTTACCAGCCTTCATTTGCAGGAGTTTCTTAATACCACACTCGATAAATCAGGAAAACCTCTTCGCTGGATGTGGGATTCAGACTTACCTTTGGAGTGTATGTCACATTCAGTGAGAATCAGGAGCAAAGCAGAAGCATCAAAAAACTGGAGTCAGTGGAGTCTGTGGGAGACTATCCAGGGTGAGCAAAACGAGCCTTTGCAATATTGGCTTTATTTTTCCAGTACAAAGTTAGATTTTAATTTTCTGGTGGCTTTAATGGTAAAGTCCAACTCAGGAGAAACAACGTCAAATTAAGAAACCATTCAATCTCTTTTTATCTCTGAGCACTAACCAACTCTTTTATTGCTGCCCTTCTTCTAATTTGCAGACTACCTTCGTAAGTTAATGGACAAAAAGTTTTAGGACTTTTCTTGCTCGTACATTAAAACAGTGTGGTACGTTGAGTAGTATGGCAGCTTGGATTTGAGTAGAAGTTGGCCTCCTTTCTTGATACAATATCTTGTATCAATAAGTCAGGGCCTTATTTTTAGAGTAGGCTTTCACCAGGTCAGACACAGCACTGGCACTGACTGAGGGCCAGGGGAGGAAGCGCTTAGTTGTGGTTGCTTCTTCATCTGATGCATCAACATTTTGTCTTGGGATCATAGCTTTGATTAGTTTTAAGGACACAGAAAGTGAGAAGTAAGTCAACTTCCTTTGTCACTTGGGAATGGGCTAATACTATAAACAAATGATACCAGAAAAAAAAGAAGCTTTTAATTTTGGATCATCATATGTCTTATTAAAGCAATTTGATTTCCAGAGAATTTGGTTTAAACAAAATGTACAGCTATTTTAGGAAAAAGATGATTTGTGTTTTTGTAAATAAATACTGTTCTTGCTTGGATCAACGAGGGTTTTTAGTTATGAGAGAAGTCCCTGGTAGTAAATCAGTATGTTTAGATTGTATGCAAATTGCCAATCTCCTTCACTTTATATAATGGAAGGTAAGATGAAAGAGTTTCTTTTTTATTCTCAGTAGTGAGATTTTTGTGATTTTATGTATTTAATTGAAATCAGGTAGGAAACATAAAGGCTTGTCATAAGCTGATCCTGCATTACAGACCTTATTCAGAACTTCCTGATTTTTAACCAGAGAGAAAATTTTATCCCCAACCCATGCAAAAGCCTGTGAGGTAGCTTAAATCCCACTGATTTTTGCCCCCATCAGCGATTCCAATGTTGAAAGCCATAGATACTCCATATCCCCTTACCAATCTGATTCATTCATTGTTGGCTTATCTTACTCGAACCTGTATAAGGTTCAGAGCATGTGGCTTTTTCAGTCCTCTGCTCAAAACCAAAAAGAGCAGGCATTTTGGCAGTAAATGTCAATCTGTTCATAGGTCCAGGAAGCAGAGTTCATCTGTGAAGGCAATTCTTGAATGCACTTTGCTTTGTTTTCACCCATGTGAAAGGCAGCAAGATGGATTTAGGCCTCTTAGGTTGTTTGTTGTGCTACATTAGAGTGAATGGGTTTATCAGAATGTACGTATGATTACATATCTAATTGATCTCTGATGGGGAAGAATATTAAATAAATGATCATGAGTGATAATTTAATAGCAAATTTTCATGTAAATGCTCTGTTATGTAAGGCTACTGCCATAAGAAAATTTTAAAATGGTTTGTTATGCATTAATTTACAGGTTTGGATACTTCAAACATCACTGAGCCAAAAATCTTTCCGGATGAAAAAATTATAGAGGAAGGCTTTGACATCAGTCTTTGTTGCATTGCAAGGAAAGGTCAAATCATAAAGGAATTTTTTTTAAATTCACCTATTCCTTATTTCAATCGCACAAACAGTCAAGTTGGACTTCTCATTGCAAAGAATGTGACATTTAAAGGAGTGCCTCACGTCCTGTGTAGAGAGTCTTGCCATGAAGAAAATTGCTTTGCACATGCAGTTTTCTTTGTGGGTAGTAAGTGAAGCCTTTCTTACAGTTATGTTTCCCTGTTCCTATTAAGTCAATAATGGTTGTGAGGGATGTGGGGAGAGAAAAAGATATCTTGTTGTAATTTGGCATTGTCCTCTTAGGTCTAGCCAAATTTCGATTAAACTCTGACTCAAGGTCTGTACGAATGCATGTAGAAAATATTACTAAGTGGAAAGCTTTGTTTTAAACATGTTTGGATTAATCTCATTAATGATATTAATAGAGCTGGTATAATATGTGGCGTTAAGTTTTGCATGGAAAGAAAAACAACAACAACACAACAATACAGGTTAAATTAATTAATGTATTAATGTAACAAAAAGTAATAATTGGATTGCAATTAATTTATGGTGCAATCCTGGTATCTCTGCAGAGTGATAACTGAATAAGTGTAATTGAAATAATGACATCTGTAGTAAAGCAGGCTTTATATGTATCCATCATTTCTAGTATGCTAATATATTGAGTTTATTGATATTTTTTTTTGCATTAACTGCCATGTTGTTGCTTTTCATGGTTATTCCCTTTGACAAGGACCACCTGATGTACCTCATGATTTTTCCTGCCAAACTCAGAACATGAGAGAAATAACATGTACCTGGGACCAAGGACGAGACACCTACCTTTATGGAAGTCACTCATCAAAATACAAGTTGTCTGAACAGTAAGTCCCCTCATTTCTAGCCTGATGTACAAAACAGATTCTTTCTGACCATCAAAATCTACAGAAGTGTTTTTATCCTTGTTGCAGTTAGCTGCTTGCCTCTTTATAACTCACTTATCAGCTTATTTAAGCTGTAACCTGTAACAAAATTGTTGTTTCATTAGACCAGCTTCTGCTTGATAAAGCCTACTATAACAATTATTTGGTATTAATTTGTATGGATATTTTTAAATAGCTATAAAGATACCTGCAAGCAGAATATTTATAACTTACAAATAAAATCTAATTTATTGGATGATGCACACAACAGATAAGTAGGATTTAATGAACTTCTAGGTTGAATATCATTTTGTTCACAATCCGTGTTGACAGTAAAGCCTGTCAAAACTTCTGATTCCCAGCTAGGCACCAGTTAGCCTCATTAGATTCATTAGTTTTTTTCTTCAAGATTTTTGTAACTTTCCATTTCCTTCTTGAATTCTCAAGCTATGTCAACAATCCTACATCTGTCTATAATTTTAGTTTCTCTCTCTCTTTTTTTTTCCCCTCCTATTTTTAATCTCTCTGTAGATTTTCTCACAGCTTCTTCATACCAGTCTGGGTCAGGTTCTGTGGCAAATCAGACCCAGGCCCTGGCTTCTTGCTACAGAGGCATTTAAACTCACAGGAGAGGAAGGGAGGTGAGGCTTTAGGGCAAGGAAAACAAAGGGTTTGAAGAGAACTCATAAAACAACTAATTTGCATCAAAAGCTCCCAGAAGGCAGTCATCATAGCACCTTCAGGGTCTCTGCATCGTTCACTTCCATTCAGCTATAATGATGTTTTAAAAATGGGAGGTTAGCAGATGCGCTGAAACTGCTGTTTTGTTTGAAAATGTAACTGTAGACATGGGAATGCTTTATCATTGATAAACCCTGTCCCTTGTTTAAAAATCTGCAAACCCATGATGAAATACCTAAAAGCAATTTAGCTTTTTCTGGCAACTAAGGATGAAATAAGTCTTCTTCAAAGAAAACTTACTTCTAATTGTAAGAATAGTGTATTCATGCTAGTTTGGGCTAAGGAAGAGAACTAGGTAGCTTCTCACAGTCCCGTGCACCCTTGTTTTCTGTGATGCTGTATTTTATTTTAGACACCGGTGATCTCCACATCTATCTTGGTTGTATATCAAAAAAAGTCTGTTTTTTTCTTCTTTTTTTTTTTCCCTGTTCTTTAATAGATTTTCCAAATCTTCTGTTCCATGCACAGTAAATTGTTCTGAGAGGTGCTCATGTTCTTGGGATATAGGGAAGCAGAGGATCTATAATGTCACACTGACTGTTGAAAACCCACTGGGAAAGGGAATTGCCACAGATGTTTTTGATGTAGCTCACAGAAGTAAGTCCTTTTCTATTTCTTTGATGAAAACTTTTTGTGGAAGACCTTGTTCTCCTCCTGGTCTTAATACTTGGATGCCAGCTTAAAGTAGAAATCACTGGTTTTGTCTTCTCAGATTTTATTAGCTTTCTGTGCTATAGTTAGCTGCTTTCTCTTCAGTTTCAGCTTTGCAAAGTTCTGTAAATAGCAGTGGCTGTGGTTCCATGTTCTGTATTATTTTGGGTGCTCCCAGTCCCTTAACTTCTAACTACTTCTACCTTAAAACACTTGTGTATTTACTGTGTTTTCAGCAGTCTTTCCAGTTCTTCTTAAATCGTCTTAGTGTCCTCTAACCCCATCACATCCTCCTCAGTGTTGCCATGCTCCTTCAGTCCTCTTGCCTGTTTAAAGAAGCAGGAAGCAACCTGTGATTTATCTGCTTGGGAAGTGGAAAGGCTGATGGACCAGGAGTTTGCTAATGTAGTTTTTACATTCTGGCAGCGCTTCCTTCCTTAGAGGCTCTCATTTCACGTTTACTAGACACGTTATTTTCTTATGACTCATAGGAACACATGTTAAAAGTCCTTCTTGTATTGTAATTTATGCTCTATCAAGTTTTTGTATAATGATGAAAGCTGGACACATATCACTCACATGCATTGCCAAGTCTCATTCCTTGGGACTGAGCTGATAATAGCAGAGTTAGAAATCCGCTGCTCTTGCTGAGTACTGTTTACATAGCAGTAAAAGATCTCAGAAATCTTCCACAAGTAATGCTGGTAATGTTTACCAAGAGGGTAACTGCTAGTAGGATTTAAAATGAGAATTGTGAAAGATTGTGGTACAGGTTTCTGAAGTATAGGAACTTGGTGAGTGTTATTCACTATGGTGCTTCAAGAGATTCCACCAGTGCCTATGTTACAGCATTTGACTGCCAAATCAGCAAAAGGTTTTTTTTTTGTTGTTTGTTTGCTTGTTTGTTTGGTACTTGTATAACATTTGTAGAATCATACAATGATTTGGAAGGGATGTCTTCCTTTGAAGTAATCTGGTCCAATCCCCCTTCTTCAAGGAGGTTACACAGGACCATGAGCATTACATTTTCACTGTGAGATTAACTTTTAACTTATGTCTACTTCTTCTAGAGCAGCAGAAAACAATTACACTTTGTTTAATATTTCTTTCATTGTTCAACTAAAATACTTTAAAATACATTTGTATATATTTTATGTTTTACAAGAGTTAACTCAGGTTCCCTGTTCATTTGTAGTTTATCCCCTACCACCGTTCCAGCAGTGGGAAGAATACACAGATGGAGAAATTGAGTTACACTGGGAACAAAAGGAAAAGGAAATTGAACTCTTTTGTCAAGCTGAAGTGTATCAACCTGATGGGAAAGCAAAACTTGTATGAAATCTGAATTTATTCTAATGCAAAAATAATTCTTAGCAACCTTAATTTAATATAAGTCTTGTGAGCATGCTGATTTGTATGTTTTTCTGATTGTGTCAGGCTCCGTGCTTATTTTGTGGTCCACATGGCTGGCCATTGCTAATGTTAATTCATACTTCCAACACTGCTTGTACTGCTGACTGAAACGTATGGTGTGGCTGATCTGTATACTCTGTCCTCTGCCAAATGGTCTCTGAGATCTTCTAAAGTAGATGAAAATTCTTATGGGCCTTATAATTGCTGTTACTATAGCTACTGCTAATCTTCGTTTGCCATACTTTTATAACTCATATCATCTTACAAGCAAATGGCAGAGAAGTGTGTTGAAGGATCACACTTTTTTGATATTAGTCCAGAAGTCTCCTGTACACTATTGGTTGTGCTTAATGGTAGGATGCATGGTTTCTAGTGAGGAAATCCCAGGACAGTTTTTCTTTCCATCCTCTTAAACCTCCTTGAAATTGTTTCAGTAGAGTCATCATGTTCCAGTTCTTTCGCAAACATTGAAGTTGATTTACACTTTGCATATTTACTGTGGTTTCTTTGTAGTCCTTTTCTTATGAGAGCAGCTTGACTTCAACATATTAAAAGGCATTAAGAAGATCAGAAGCAACCTGTGTTCTGTCTTTACTATTGCCTAAGAGCTGTCAGATTAAATCATTGCTGTGGTTGGCCTTTACAGGAGCATGCTCACTTTGTGACTTTTGCAAGAACTCATTCTACCTTTTAAGATGGAGTGTGGAAAAAAAAATATGAACATTGAAAGAAAAGGCAGCAATACATGATGTGCATATGTCTAGAACAGCATATTGCTTAAATTAGCTGAGTAAGAGACCTGGAAATGGTGAGGATAAGATCTCAGTAAATTCTGTCTGCCTTTATGTGAAGAGTTGTCATTTGACTCACTGCAAGAGTCTCCTACTCAGATGATTGCACTGAACAAGGTTGTACAACTCTTTCTGCATCTCCCATTGGAACTCGTGACTATCTTTTTTTCCTTTTTTTTTTTTTTTTTTCTTTTTTTATTGACTGCTGTTCAATTTTTATCTTTTCCAAAACAAGCTATACTGGCCACTGTATGTAGTAGAAGCAAAATTAGTTTTTTGTACAAAATCCTGTTGTTGCTCATGAAGCAAAACTTAGCTCTAACTGTTCTGTTTTTCTTTTTTGTAGTACAATAGTTCAGGCACACAACTATATGGAAACAGGATCACCCTTGGTGGACTGCAGCCCTACACCAGTTACACAGCCAGAGTACGTTGTGGTGCCGCTAAGCATTTCTGGAGATGGAGCGAATGGAGCAAAGCCCACACTTTCAGAACAAAGGAAAAAGGTGCGTCTGGTCTATGGAGAAAGGAATCTTCATTGATGTTCTTCACTTGATACCTCTTCTTACTACTTGCTACTAATGTCACTAGAGGAGAGTCCTTGTTGCATTCATGAAAGAAGAATCATACCAATCAAAGTTTAGGAAAGTGGCTTCTTAAATCATCCTTCGTACCAGCCTCTGGAATTTCATCCATTGCAGGCAGTGGAAAATCCAGGTGACCAGAAGGATGAATAGTGTAACGGTGTTCTTTGAGGGCTAGAAAAGCAATGCAGAGGTGGGAACAAACATCTGGGAACTGAAGGCAAAGAAAGGATTTTTAGAGAAGTGAGCCATACTAGCATTCAGAAGTAAAAGCTGAATACAGCAAGAAGTTAAAGGATGTTTTGTCAAGACATGGGAGTGATTGGGAAAGAGAAGTGTGGAGGGTTGTGTGTCTTCAAATGGAGGCAAATAAAGCGTCTTTGTTTTGCTGTATTTCCTCCAGCTCCATCAGGGAAACTGGATGTCTGGAGAAAAATTACTCCAGCTCTGTGGGGGCGGAATGTGACCTTGTTCTGGAAGGTGAGATGTTGGTACAGAAATGGAAATAAAACTATTTGTAAATGGGTTTGAAAACTTCTCTTATTAACTTTAACAAGTCTCTGTGCACTTTATGGCAAGAGTCTAAGATAAATATTATATATTACATGTTTGGGGATGTTTCTAGCTATATGATCTTGGTATTTCAGACATGCATACTTCTATTTTACCAAGTATTATAATAAGGTAAATCCTATCACTGGTATTTCTGCATTTCCATTTAAAACAGTATGTTTATGCTTTTTTTGCAAATGTGTGTTTATATTGTTACAGAAATAATGTATGTGAGTTATTATTTAAAGTTGTTTTTCTCATGTTTTTCTTCAGGAAAATTTTCTAAGTAATTGATGTTTACCCACGTATCTTTTTTTCCTAGCAAGAAGCAGATTTTCAAGCGAATGGGGAAATTATTTCATATGAAGTAACCTGGGAAAAAGTAGTAAACCGATCTAAGCCTGAACACATTTCTCTTTCATCAGATTGTAATAGTACAAGGATTTTCATTGATAATCATCCCTACAGAATCAGTGTCATGGCAAGGAACAATGTTGGTTATTCACATCCTTCAATGTTGATCATCCCTGGAGCTACAGGTAACAGCAGGAGTATTTCCAGTTAAAAGTGGCTTTTTGTTACCAGAGTTTTATATCCACTTATATTAAGTGAGGCTGTCCTTATGGATGAAGGAGTGGAGCAATGCTGGCACCTTTTTAAGACTGCCTTTTTGAGAGCACCATAGCTCTCCATCCACATGAAGTCAAGCAGAGAAGGCAGGAGACTAGCATGGCTGAGAGGGTACTTCCTGGTCAAGCTAAAAGATAAAAAGTGGAAGCAAGGATGTGTGGCCTGGGAAGAGAACAGGGATGCCATCCAAATGTGCAGAGGTGAGATCAGTAGGATCAAAGCAAAGAGGAAACCTGGCAAGGTAAAGAAAAACCAAAAGATTCTGACATTGGTCAGAAAAGAAGAGTGTACTCCCTCTGATAAATGAGTGACAAGTGCCTTCAACACATATAGAGAAGACTGAGGTACTGAGTGAGTTCTTTGCATCTGTCTTCACTGGCAGCCAAATTTCCCAGTTCTTCTCTCACATCCCTAAACATCTAGCCAGAGGTAAGGGGAGAAAAATCTCTCCTGCTGTAAGAGCAGAGCAAGTTAGAGATGTCCTCATGAGGCTGACATGAGCCAGCAGCATGCACTTGCAGCCTGCAGGGTTAACTGTATCCTGGGCTACATGAAAAATTCCAGCAGGGTGAGGGAGGTGATCATCCCCCTGTACTCTGTCCTGATGACCCACCTGCAGTACTACGTCCAGCCCTGGGGACCCCAGCACAAGAAAGGCATGGAGTTGTTGGAGCAGGTGCAGAGAATGGCCACGTAGATGATCACAGGGCTGGAGAACCATTCTTACAATGAAAGGTTGAGGGAGTTGTTCAGCCTGAGGAAGAAAAGGCTCCAGAGAGGCCTAATGGCAGCCTTCCAGTACTTACAGGGAGTTCATGAGCAGGAGGAAGGCTGACTTTTTACATAGTTTTAAACTAAAAGAAGAGAGATATCACTTAGGTATTAGGATGGCATTCTTTACTCAGAGAGTAAAGAATTCTCTGCTGCCCAGAGAAGCTGTGGGTGACCCACCCCTGGAAGAGCTCAAGATGGGTTGGAAGGGGCCCTGGGAGGCAGCTTGAGCTGGTGTGGGGCAAGGGGCTGGATAAACATTGCCCCTGGCTAGTCTTTAAGGTTCATTCAAATCCAAGCCATTCTGTGAGTCTATGATTCTATGACTTATAATCTTAAGGGAATAAATTAACCTGACCTGAAAACTGAAATCACGGCTCTCTGGAAAGTATTGCTATATTTCGGCCTGCAGGGCAGTAACTCTACGCATATTGACACGAGAGCCTTGATCTGTCCCTCATAAGACAAAGTCTATTTTCCACAGAGTCTTCGCAAAGCGTGCTTAGCCTTAGTCTAGGCATCAGACCTGCAGCATGTGCTGTGACAGCCCAGCCTTCCTTGAGTGAAACTTGTGCATATGATTAGCCTCTTGTGGCTTTCTGTTCTTGACTCCAGTTTCTTGCTGTTGAATTCTTTTTCTGGATTTATGGTAATAACTTCTGGATGTTTTCTGAGCAGTTGTCTTTCGGCATGTGAGAGGGCCATATGTCTGATCATGAAGGAGCATAACAGTTTATTATGGTTTTAGCAATTTAGCATTGAAACTATATTGAACCTTATTTATTCAGGTCTTATGCAGGATAATAATAGAAACAGCTTTTTTTTTTTTTCATTCCTAGACACTGAAAAGAGGCTCAGTAAGTCGGAGCTTAAAGAAGAACATGTTAATGGCACAGATGGTGGCATTTTGATTTCCTGGAAGCCCAGAGATAAATCTGACAGTTACATTATTGATTGGTGTAACTTTCCAATGCTGCAGCCTTGTGATTTACAATGGAAGAGGTTTGGACCCGACACTTCCAGTGCTCTGATCAAATCAGGTGAAAGGAGAATGTATTTTTTTTTTCTGATGTCCTAACTCTTGTATGCTGTGGGCATTAAATGAATTCAGAAAGCATGTCCTGTGGAATATTGAAGTTTGTGCAGTGCACATACAATTATGTAAAAGCATTTGGCATAATGTTTTGCCCAGAAGCTAAAGTAGACACCATAAATACATTAGCACCGCTGAGCCATGGAAATCAGAGCAGTATTTTAGCAAAACATCTTCTGAGTGTCTTTATGTGACATCTTGAAGGAGTGTAGTGAATGCTATCTGTAAGTACAGAGATGTAAAATGGAGCTCTGCCTTGTCTGTAGCAAAGGTTAGAAGTTTACACTGACATTATAACACCTACTGCACGATGAGAAGCTTAGTGCTCTCAGTGTACCCCAGAGAATGTGTCTCACCAATTGTGCAGATTTTATCCTGGTAGTGGCCATTAAATCCAAATCCTTTCTGGCTATTTGAAAGTCTCTGTGTCTTACTATTTTGGATAAAGGCATATAGCCTTCCCAGACTTTCTCAACTGAGTGTTCACCTTCTGAAATGAAATGATCAAAGTTTGGCTGAGCACATCTTAGTATTCAATAGATAAATTGCACCTCATTCATTAAAAGAAAAATAAAAAGCAAACCACACAGCAATGGCAAGACAAAAAAATAAAAAAATAAAAAAATCACACCATGGAAACCTACCTTTTTTTGTAATCAGTTCTACTATTTTCTAGCTGCTTTTGTTCCTGGAGTGAGATACAATTTCCACATCTATGCATCTGCTGCTAATAGAGTCTCCTTACTGGAGAAGAAGACTGGTTATCTCAAGGAGCTTCGTAAGTTCGGAATGCATTTCAGGTTTATGTATTTGCTGAATTCATCTACCACCAACAGAGGAATTCCTTGGTCCTGCTTCTGTAGCTAAATTAAAATGTACTTGCTGTGTTGTTTCAGTATAATCTGTGAAATATCTAATTTACAAGTTGTAAAACAATGTATATTCCCTTTATAGAGGATATGAGACTAGTGCTGTGACCAGGTCAGGTCCATGCTAATCAGACTATGATTAGCAGTGCATATGTGCTTTGTGTGCTATGTAGACTCACACTATTAAGGTATCAGATTTTTTTTGAGTGCTTTGGCTTTGTTCAGTCTTTAGATTAAATTGCAATACAAATACACATGGGAATATAGAGCTTTTCCAAGTGAGAAGATAAACGTGATTGAAGGATAATGCCACGTTTAATAGAAATTTCCTTTTTTCCAGCTCCTCGATTTGACCCTGATGTGAAAAAAGTTGAACTGAGTTATCATGAAGTAACACTGTACTGGGATCCTTATCCCACGGATGAGATACACCCTGGTTTCTTAAGAGGTTACCACGTTTATGTGTCACCTGTGCAAGAGGATTGCAATTTGAAAGGATCCAAAAAACATGTTCTTGCAGGTAACAGAGCCCCAGGGTTTTGGAAGTTCCGTCACTAATATAGGTGAGAGGGAGGCCTTGTGGCCTACACGGCAGCCTCTTGAAAAGGTCATATTGGGCCAGCAAATCTGGCTTCTGCTTCTTTTGATTTCTTCCTAATATTTGGGGTGTTATTGGGCAGAATTGGGGTCCTGGCAATATAAGAATTTATAGCTCCTTGTCCTTTTTCTGTAGTTCCCTTCAGCATTAACGAGAACTACAGAAAGGATTCTTTCAGTACTGTAGGAGTCGTCGTTCCTGCTTCTTGCAATCTGAGTTCCAGATGAATTTCCAAAACATCTGTTTGTGATCTACTTGGATGAGAGTCATAGGAAGCATGGTAGTTTTACTAGGTATTTTAGAAACAGATGGAATAGCACTTATTTCTTTCAGAACTGGAACACTGTGGAAATTCCCCATTTGAATTCCTTTATAATGAAAGTATTTGTTGCTGTGCTCTCCAGTGGAGTTCTTTAGGCAGTTCTTAAGCTGTGGGGTGGCACAAAGCCATGTTTAACTTTTCATTTCTGATTTTAATGATTCATGTCCAAAACTGCTCCAGATGATTGCTACATTAAAATTTCCATGCGTTTCCAAGTTGTTCAAGGTTATTTTTTTTCCTTATCTCTTCTTCCAGGTGAGTCATGTTTTCTCTCAGATTCCTGTCCCTATTAGGCTAGTGCCAGGATGAAAAGCATAGGCTGAACTGAAGGAAAATTATTAGATGTTTCAGTCAGGTTTAAACTAAGCATTGAAGAACCACAGTTCTGCAAGTAATCCCAGCTACAGTGGTTAAAAAATGCTACTTTCCAGTTGCATGAGCTAGCAGATAGGAGGCGTGACTGGAAACACGAGAAACAGGCTAACCCTTCTCTCCCTGTGGTCTGGGAGTTGCACAATACAGAGAGTATAATTTTGAGATAGAGATGTCTCGCTTTCAATTAATTTGAAAGAATTTGATCTAAGCTTAAAAACTACAGAACTCTGAAGAAAATGGCAAAACACCAAATCAAACTCTAATCAGAGGAAATGGAAGTATAGGGATGTATTTCTTGACAGCAAGTTATCAGAAGGCCTACTGCAAGACAGACTGTGCTGTCAGAGTCCAGCTAGAAGGGATGTGAGCACAGCACAGTGGCAGTGAGTCAGGATGCATCATCTTCCTAGGAAGAAAGTGTGCAGATTACGAAGAAGGAGAACTGTAAACACTCTGTTATTTCAGTGGTTTTAGCACATTGATTTGTAACGTTTCATTCTAGGTGGTTCAGTGGTATGTAAATTCACAATTGAAAACCCAGAAGAAAAAACTTACACGGTGAAACACCTGACGTCAAACACAAAATACAAGCTGGCCATTAAAGCATATACGGGTGGAGGAGAAACTCCCATCATTAACTTCAGATACATAGATACACCACTTGACTGTGAGTACTGGCAATGAGAAATGTTTCTCCTCACAGAAGGATGCGAGAATAATCTTCCTTTCTCAGTGGAAAACATTTAATTCTGAAATATGTATACCAATATGATATTTTAATGTTTTTAAGTGGCTGGTTTTTTATTTTAGAATGAAAAGAATTCCACAGGCATATCATATCCTTCTGGGAAGTACCACAATTCATACAGATTTGCAGGCAGTTTGGTAGATCATTGAAGAATTGTATTTGGATTTAATTCATATTATAATACAGGAGGAACTAAATACCAGTATGCAAATAGAGAATTTCTGTATGCACTTTTGAATTTCTAATTATGATTATTTTACTTATTAGTCTTTAAACCCATTGTCAAGCTAACTCTTTTGTAAGTCAGCAACAGAGGGTTGTTTGAACACTGCAGTTTACTAATGGGATAGATTTGATTTCCAAAGCAAAGCATGAAATCACCTGCCTCTAGTTCTGTTCCTTGAAAATACCATCCAGCAATCTCAGCTGTGAGATTTGTGATCCAAATTGGGAATGTCTAGTTTTGAAAAATTTGCCCAAGGTAAGGGTGTAGGGGGAGGAAAGGGTGAAGTGTTGGTTATGCAAGGACACTTCATTCTTTATGCTAACTAAATAAAAGGCCCAAATGCTCATGGTATCCAATGAGAGGTAGTTCTGCATCTTGCACCTTTGTTCTATCTTCCATGCTCCTGCTTCAGGAGGATGTCTTCCATGCCAGACATTTGTACTGGCATAATTAACCTAGGAAAGCTAAAAAGGAAAATGTAATGTGACTGTTTATTTCCTCCTGTGGTTTGTGGTGGAGACACACAAGCTTGCTGGCGCAGGGCAAGAGGGCAGCAGCCAGGGAAAGTTTTCAGAAGACACTTGTTCTTTGTCAGGGTATACGTGTAGTAGCCTGAACTATTTGTGAAAAATAGTCTAAGGCTGTGTACTTTACCCAGAAATGAAAATACTGAGATCCTTAAGTCTGCATAAATCCTAGGAGAGCAAGAACACTGGCAGTGTCTGTCCTGATATGGTCTATCCATACTGGAGGTACAGAGTTTATGTCAACTTTGTCTCACTGAAAAAATATGTTGCCTCTGGGGATCTGTAAGGAAATCTGAAACCAGTAGCTGTTAAGTAAGATTCCTACACTTTTAGCTTTTGGAAATGTATGCTTATAGTTAAAAAGTTAATGTGAGGGCAAAATGAAGGAACCTAGCAATATTTCAATTTTGGTGATCGATATCGAAAGACATACATATCCCAGAACTTAGAGCCAAAATATCTTACAGGCAATTCCACTGCTGAGTTACTGGCTCATATCCTATATGGACTTGATTGTGTTTCTGTTGCAGAATCTCAGGCTATATTAAACAAATGAGAACTTGTAAACAAAATTTTGAAGTATTTTTCTTTTACAGCAGACATGCTGTACCTTCTAGTCCTGCTTGTGGTAGTTCCTTCACTAATAATGGCTGTGTGCCTCTGGAAAATGAAGCGGTAAGCTATAATGCATTTTCTTCTTGCAGCCAGAGAATGCAAGTAGTGTAATTCACAAACCACAGCTGCTTCTTGTTGCTTCCAGCCTCTTACAAAGCCTCGTTCATTTTTTCTTTGACTGTCCATCTGTGTGGATGTTGTAAGTATTTGGCTTGCAGCATTTCTAAGACACTCATCATTTCCAGCTGTTTCTCTACACATCTAGTGTTGCTTTGGCTGGCAGAATATGCTTTGATGAGAGAACAAAAAACATCACTTGTTTTGCTTTCTTATTTCCAGGGTGAAGGATTGCTGCTGTCCTGTGATACCTAGTCCTAACAAGAGCAAAGTGCTGTCATTCAAAGAGTTCAAAGTAAGATCACTTGAAGTCTAGTATTTTTTATTTTTCCCTTCTTGATTAGTAAATATTTTCTGGTGTTAGCTACATTTAACGTGAGTGACACTCACATGCAGAAATGAATGGAAATTAATATCCCCATTTCATGGAAAACTTAGTGATAGCTAGAAACAACTAAAAGTGAAAGCAAATTTATACACCAAATGGAATTTTTTGATGGAGTCCTTCTTCCAGCATTAATATTCAAAATACAGTGCTATCTGAACATAACAGAACATACTGTGGGATGATGCACTTTGAAGCAGCCTACTGCTGTATCCACCCATCCCTCAGCTGCATGTGTCCCTTATGCTGTCATGTGAAGGAAAGAGTGTGATCTACTTAATTATTCCTGGGAGGACGCATGGGACTCTGCCAGGTCTGATGGTGAGGAAAGAACTGAAAAAAGGCCCTAAGCTTCCCCTGCAGGTCCTATGAACCAGGAGCTGCTGCCTTAGTGCCATGTGCAAAGGGATGCATCAAGAGCAGTCGTCAGCAGGGCAAGGGAGGAGGGCAAGAGCTCCCCTCTACTCTGCTTTGTGATGCCAGTCCTGGGGACCCCAGCACAAAAAAGACATGGAGCTGATGGAGCAGGTCCAGAGAAGGGCCACAGAGAGGATCATAGGGCTGGAGCACCTTCCCTCTAAAGACAGGCTGAGGGAGCTGGGATTGTTCAGCCTGGAGAAGAGGAGGCTCGTGGGAGACCTCATTGTGGACTTCCAGTCCTTAAAGAGAGCTTATAAGGTGGAGGCTGACTTTCTATGCAGTATGATAGTGATGGAGCAAGGAGGACTGGTTTTAAACTAAATGAAGGGAGACTTTGATTAAAAGTTTGGAGGAGATTCATTATTCAGAGGGTAGTAAAGGACTGGCACGTGTTGCTCAGAAAAGCTGTGGATGGAGGCATTCAAGGCCAAGTTGGATGGGGCCCTGGGAAGACTGTTCTAGCGGGTGCTAACCCCTGCCCCTAGTTGGGCTTTAAGGTTTTCTCCAACCCAAGCCATTCTGTGAATATACAAAGGCTGTGTGGATATGTCCCTTACTGCCATATCCACTGGTCCCTTAAAATACCTGCAGGAATGGGAACTCCACTTCTTCTCTGGACAGTCCGTTCTAATGCTGTGTCCTTTTGTATCAGAGACACTCTGTGAATTTCACATAAGATCCAGCTTTCATCAAACATTTTGTATTTTTCACTATTTTCTGTTCATTTAATCCAAAGTAAAAAAATTTATAAGACAATTTACAAGCATTTAAATTAATCACTCTTTTCTTTATTCTTGACTTCTTTCACTGAGCACTTTTTTTTGTTCGATGCCTCTCCTGTAGATTGGTACTGAGAAAGTACTAAAGCTAAGTGACTGCATTCCTGACACCCTAGCACTGGATAATAAGGCCGAAGCAAAAAAATTACGTTCACGGAGCCTGATGTCTTCAACGTCAACAGAAGATAAGACTGATGATCAGAATCTTTCCTCAGTTTATCGCAACAAAAATGAAGAGAGAAGTTTTCCATCAACACCCACACCTCAGACTCATACTTGGTTTGAAAATTTTGCTTATTCTTCTCATCTTGCAGTTGAAACCAATCCCTATGAAACACCAGAGACACTAGAAAGAGGCAACGAAGAAGTGTCAGCAGTGCTGTACCAGCCACAGTACTACCTCAATATTTTGAATGATGCTTCTACCTCATCACCTGGAGAAGCAGCTGGCAGGAAGAGCAATCTGAGATACATATCACAAACAGATGTGCACTGCATTGGAAGGAGGCTTTGATGTACCCTCGTTGACTGAGTCTGTTGATTGGTTGTGTTTTAAAATACAAACAGGAATTTCTGAAGGCACAGCAACTTCTCTTTCCGATACAGGCTTTCACAAGCCCAGATGTCCCACTCCTGTTATCCCTGCAAAGCTGTACATTGTTGACTAGTTCAAGGCTTTTGCAGTGGAATGCTGCATGCTATCATTTGATCAGAAGTTACTGGCTTTAGAATTTGCAGGCCAATGTTTTGCTGCCTGTAATATGCAGTGGGAACCATTTTCCCATCAGGGCAGATGTTTGTGGAGGAGTTACCAACACACTCATAGTGCTCATAACCTTTTTTGGCATTACTCCTTGCACGTAGCAAACTCCAGACAACTATGTAAGTAGACACGAGTCAGATGAGTTATATTAATCCCCTTTGCAAAGAACATATTCAGGCTCTCTATCAGCTAGATCTTCAGATACTGTTGTTTGCATGTTATAAAAAATAGTCTTCCTCCAGCTAGCAATGAAGGAAGGGCCTGCTGGCTGTGATTTTGAAACTCACGAAGACATTCATCTTGTTACTTGCACATTTTAGCTTGCAGCATTTGTAAATACATGAACTGAGCACTATGACTTTTTGTGATAACTGAGAATTTGAACAGCATACTGAGGTGAACTTGGTCATCTTTAATTTTCAAAAATGTTTGTAAGGAAGCACAACAGATTGTATCCTTCATTTTGAAAAAAGGCTTATTTAAAGAAAACTTGAAAGGCAGACTAAAATCAAGAGTTAGGTATCTCATATAAGGAATTCTCATATAAGACTCAGTGAAAAAGTCAGATTGTCCCATGAACCACATATTAATATTTGATGTTGCGCAGGTTCTTTATGGCAGAGGGGATGGCTCTAATGAGGCGTTATTTCATACATCTGAGCTGCTGTTGTTGGGGCCTGACTGCAGCAGCTGAGCACAAAGTGGCAGGGACATTGTGGGTGGAGGTCATACAGCTGGTGCTGCTTTCCTGATGGTGGGTGAGGTACTTGGGCCTGTCCGGAGCTCCCATCTCAGCTCCAGCAAAGGTGGTTCCTATGGTCTTTCTAATGAAAGCATTTTGTCATTTGGAACAAGAGAACAGCTTACCAGCAGGTACAGGCCTGCCTGGCAGCCTGAGAGGTTAGCTCCTCTGCGGGCTGCTCGTGACAGCTTGTTTCACAGAACACAGGAACAAACTATTCCAAGGAGAATAAGGCTTTTGTGTAGGTGGAAGGGTATAGTGAGGGCACAAGAAAAGTATTTTTCACATGGGGATAGAGAGGCATGTAAACGCCTCTTTCTTTTTTTTTTTTTTTTCCTTCCCTCTAAGACATCTGTCTTGCATTAATAATGGCTGAATGAGTTCAAAACTGAAAGATTTATTTCTTGTTTCATTTCTTGTTTATAATTCAGCTTTCACATCTGCTGCTGAAATGCTAACACTTGAATTGTACAAACATCACATAATGGAAAGTGACTAATTCTCAGTATCAGTACTCTAAAGTTTTAAAATAAAAATGGTGTACAAAATACTAAGGAGTCCCGTTCTATTTTTACAGGACATCTTACAAAGTATTAATGTAAAATATACTTTGACAAAAAATGTTTATTTGGAAAGCTTCAGCTTTTTCTAGTTAATTAGTAACGTACAAATATAAATAAAATTCTAATCTATTTCTAGTACTGAAAGGTACATATGAGACCAGAACAACTATGAGAAGTTTAAGTACATTTTATTAACAATGCATCCCTTTGATAAGATTATGCTTCAGGAGGCTTTTAATGCCCATAGACATGAACTGTACACACTATACAAAAAAAAAAAAAAAAAAAGAAGAAAAAAAAAAAGAAAAAAACCACAAAAATCAAGGTGGGCAACACCATTTTGGGACAAGCCTCTGTTTAAATTATACACAGCTCAATGCAATATTCTTACGGAAAATATATAAATACTTTTTCTTTCTATGTTACAGGTATACAATATAAATCAGATTTCAATGTCTGTTCAGTGACCTACAAACACTAGAACCTCCAAATATGTAGCAGCGTATTACTAAATAAAGACAATGTGGGGCAGGGAGAGTAAGTCTCGAGATTTTCCTTGATCCCTTCCCTCCTCAGAATGATTAATTTACATCATCTCCTCTAATGCAGTTTTAGGGATGCTGACAGCCCAGTACTGGAAGAATGTTTTAATTAAGCCTATAAAATATCTACCTTTACTTTCTAAGATATTGCATCTTGTGACGAAACAACCTACTGAATGGTAAAATGGCATGTTACACTTTTATGGCATGAATTACATTTCTCAAATTAAATACTGTGTTTTACAAAGCAATTTAAGCAAAATGTGCAATTTCTGCATGCTGTGGCATTACTATTTGTCTATGTCACAAAAATAGCCCAAAGAAAATCCGCACTCTTTACTGAACATACAAAAGCCAATGAAAATAACTGTCCAGCAAACCAGAACCAAAAAGCCAAACAAGAACCAGAAGAGGGAGACTGGAGCTTTGATCAAGATAGAAACAATGTTTCTACCATGTTCCATAAGGGCTCCTACTGTTCTCACCTTGCACACACCTTTAATAAGAGCATGGTAACAAAGTGTAACAGAAAGAATGTTTGGGACCGGCTTCCAGCTGGCTCCACTGAGAACCCCCAGTAACAGCACTTCTGCACAGCAGAAGGTAAGCAGATCCAAAGCATGGCAAGAATTTCACCACGATTCCTCAGCTTGAGCTCATACTCAGAAGTTAACACAACCTTCCTGAAGGCCAAAATGCCAGGCATCAAGACGAGCACACAGGTTAAGAAGCAGCAACTACTCTGATATCTCACTGGGATTCAATTACCTATTATTTTTGAAACGTTTCTCACATAGCTATCTTCAGACACTGTGAAGCAGTGAGAGTGACAAATGTTTCTTCAGCTTCTCAGTGCAAACTACAACTCTCATTCAAGACACCACAACATGTATTTCAAAATGACAAGAAAATGACCAGTACTGTTGCTACTACCTTTTAAGATGTTTCTAAGGGAAGCTCACCTCAATGTGCCAACCTCTGCACCCTGAACTACAGGCTATTGTTTCCTGTGGGGAAAAACAATACATCACTTAGGGCCTATATGTCAGGTCAAGTAAGAGCTGCCGGACAAGGAAAAGCATCTATCACCAGCACAACACGCCAAGGGTCCAGCATACAAGCTAAAGTACCTCAAAGCCTGACTATCTACAGCTCCAAGTGACAACTACAACAGCTGGAAGCATTCAGCATCCCTGAATTTCAGTCATCAAAAGCCTCCTCCTCCTCCCTGGGTAGTGCAGAGAAGCAGGAAATAACTCAGAGCCCTGGAATTACATCTCTGCTCTTTGAAAAGGACTCTCCCTTTTCACTGACTACCAAAGATGACCACAAAAGTGAGTCAGATAACTTAGCAGGCTACATTCCCCTGGTTTCATAGACAGGCTCTCCCTCCCATGAAGGCTTTCACCTCAGACCTGTTCTGAGTATTTCCCATGTAGAACATGCTTAAGCAGTCAGGAGTTCCCTTTGCCACAGCAAACTGAATTTGTGTCACTGAGCGCTGTCTGCTTTACCATTTGTTCGACTGTATTCCAACCTCAAGTGGGTCTGTCAGCTTCCCTTCCTACCCCTTCTAGGAAAAGTAGAAGGGTTCTTTATTAGGTTTAATAGACACATTTTTTTTTTTTTAATTTACCACAGTCTTCTTTTGAAGATTTATCATGATGCAAATAAAGCCCCAAAATAAGAACTTTAAAAGGGATATTTAAAACAAACCAAAAAAAGAGCAATTGATAGAATTAGAAATTCACAGTTTACAACTAGGTATCAGTATCCCTTCATTTGCCAATTAAAATGAAACACTAATATGAGCTTAATGTAAATTAATTCTAGAAATGTATGTTATGTACAGACTTTACAACCTTTATGCTTACTTGTTGAAATCTACTGACACACACACTTTTAGAAAAAATCATTTTAACTAAATTTGCAGCAATAATACAGACATCAAGTTTCTGTAGTCTTGGATCCCCATACAAGCAAGTATATTAGGAAATTTAAGATTCTAAATCTTTCAAAAGTATATTGACATTGCTTTGATTACCTTTTTCTATAATCAGAGGCCTCTCTATTGCGCTTTCTACTTTAAGTGCTATGTATTAAGCTGGTAACAAATGAACACGTGTGTTTTATTTAAATACAGGTGATAAAACTTGTTTATTTTGCTTTAACTGGAAAAAAAAAATACATGGAGTTGTTTGATGTAACCCCATCTAGTTGCTAAAACAAATCTCTTGTACTCTAGCCTAACTGAGGTAGTGTTTGCAACTACTGTGTAAGATACGCCAGCCCCATTTTTGGGAACATTACATTACTTCCTTTGGAGTTTACACCACTATTTGGTCTACTGTGGTTGGCATTTTGGTTTTACAGAAGATTTCTTACAACCAGAGAAGTCCATCCCTGGTGTGGTATGTTTTCAGAGTATTTCAAAACATTTCTTGACACTAACTACCAAATATTTGAATTTTCAGATTTGCTCCTTCTTTCAGTGGGAACTTATGAGAAGAATCTTAGGAACTAGACTTGGCTATGAGCAGCAACTTACAGATCTGCTTTATGAGATCCTGATGGTACACAGTGCATATAAGAACTCAGTGAAGTGATATCTGCAAAGCAGTGCTTATGCGGCAAGATGAAGTTTTCAATAAAAGCAAGTAAATTTTAAAATGTCATTAGGATTCATGTTCTACTGCTCACAAGACAACTTACTGAAACCCCCAGTAGCATAGCTAGTAAGAATATGGTTATGAGTATCACTTATCTTATAAATTTCACTTATCTTTACTTAAGTATTAATCTGATAATTATAAAAATGGTAAAAGTGAATGGATAAAAATACGTTCTACTTAGTACAGTCCAGCTGAATTATTCACCTATATCAAAATCAAAGGGTAACCCCTTCTATTACAGTCATTCTAACAAAGGTGGCCATGCTACTGTATATATACACATTTGCATATATTTATATTATCCTTGTATGAAGTCTTCTGAATTTTTAGATGCATTATAAAAGTGATGGGACTCCTATATTTTTCTTCTCCATTACGATTGCACTCTTTACTTTAGAAACTTCACCGTTTGATAGAGGCATGTGTTTTCCTCATTAACAGTCACTGTATCATGTAACTTTCACAACAAGTCTCAAATACCAATATAAAATTTTAAGTTCTGTTGCTTCAAAGTTTGATACTTAAGGCTTTTCACTACAATTATTAGCATTATCTGATGCTTGATCGCTCATCCACTGAAAACTCAATCAAACCTTTGTTTCTATAAAAGGCTGTTTTCATGGAATTTGGAAAACCGCTCATATGCCTTCTCACAAAAGCAGCAATGATTAAATGTCTTCAAGTCTAGTTTATACAATATTCATTTATCTGATACAAATCATGCCTGCTAAAGGTTTTTAGTTAAGAATAAGACCAACATTCACACTATATGAGCATGAGCGTAGAAACTGCAAACGCATGCATATCATTCAGGGAAAACAATTTGACTTCAGCATTTTAACTTTAAATGATTTGCTATTTTAAAATCAAACTGTAGTGAAAATCCTTAACTGGTTCAGATAAGATACATGTATGTAAATGTAATGAAAATGGAGAGACTGCTAATAAAATGACTTACAACTACAGTAACATTAAAATAACTTAAAGGAACCTCAGATTCAGAGGCTTTTCTTTCTGTCTGAAGTTACAAACCCCCCAAGTAGTGTTATAAACAGTACAAAAATCAACAGAAAAGATCTAACATTTATCCCCTGCTGTCCACAATCACAGCACAGCTCCCCATTGCTGGCAACGGAATGCACCCTCATCCAACTCCTGGGGTTTTATAATAGAAAATAGCAAAAAACAAAAAAAGCAAAAAAAAAAAAAAAAAAACAAAAAAAGCAAAAAAAAAAAAAAAAAAAAAAAAAGCAAAATTCTGTTTCTCCAAAACAGAATTAGAAGTCAATCATAGGTGTCTCTGTGTGTTGTTCATTTTTTTTTTTTTTTTTTTTTAATTTAAGGTAAAAAATGAAATGAAAACTTGTGGAGGTGTTCAGTGCTCGGCTCTTGCATATACTGATAATTACTATTATTAGAACTACATAATGTTTAATAAATCCCCAAGGGACTCCATAGACTAGGGCAGTAATTGGTTGAGGAAGAAAAAGTTTTTTCAGTTCATTCTTCAGGTACCAGTAGCTTCTGGAACAGTCTAAAAGATGATGCTCCAAACTTTATTATCTGGTCAATTGGAAGATGTCTGAGAATTCCAGGAAGCCTGTATGCAACGAACTGTGCGAGAAAGAGGTCAGGATTCTGCTGATACATCAGTTACTGGTTGCTTTGTTGGTGTTGCTAAAATAGCCTCTGCCTCTTCATGCATCTGGAAGAAGAAGTAGTCAGGTGAAATATTAATGTCATTAAAGATTTTACAAGAATGACATTGCAAAATCATTGTTTTTAATAAAAATTCCTGGAAGCATTCATTATTCACTGTAATGAAGCCTACACCCTATTGGCACATTTTGGTTCCTTCAAACTATCTGAACATTCCTCTTACCTGTAAGAACTGCACATCTTGAAACAACTCCTGAATGAACCTTCTGGATGGGAGTCGAAATGTACAATGTGCCAACAAGTAGGACACCTCAGAATACAGGCATATGTCATCAAATGCTTGAGGATACTTCTCCTTAATTCTGATTAACAGCAAAAACAAACAAACAAATTTTTACAAGTACTGAGAAAAGGTTTCCATGATATTCTTTAAAACTGTA